TCGCTGCCGCTTGGTCTAACATCCTCCCAGGCAGACAGCCGATACCCTCCTCGCCGCGTCTACGTTTCTCGAGATCATGTCGATATGGAAGAACAACGATCCAGAGATCACTTCCAAGACCAAGTTCGCCAAATACCACGCGCTACGCATCGTCAAGGCCATCAAAGCCAACGAAGACCCCAATGCGACGAACCCCGTACAGGAAACAGCGCAACAGCCAATGTCGCCGTCTGCTCTAGATCCAAACGATCCAGAAGTCCAGCGTATAAACCAAGGCGCTCCACCCCCGAACCCATACCAACCATCCGTAGAAACAGCACCGAATACCTCCACCCAACCATCGCCCAACTTCTCCGCACGCCAAGTATCACCACCACCTCCCAACCTCCCTTCTGCACCTACTGGATACACACAGTCATCGCACAACGATGTATCTCCAATATCACAACCCGGCACCTCGAGGCAGGGCTCTGTCGTTTCGATCGGTGGCGGATACTTCCCGAGGACAGACGCTCCTGATCCTCCTACATTCACGGCAGAGACGACAGCACCAGGTCTACCAACCGCTCCAATGGACATAGACCCCATGACATCTTCTCTGCCCACAAGCCCTCAGCCACCACAAGCTCCGGAACCATCAGACCCTGCAAGCTTCTATCAAAACCGGGCGTCTCCTGCGCCTGCTCAGGCTCCTCAGCAGCCACCACCTCAAAACCCATGCCAATCTCCTACGCCCCCACAAGTTCCGCAAAAGCCTCAGAGATTATCTTCCAGCTTCGGAGCACCCCCACAACAACATCAGTTTGCCTCGCCTTCGCCACAGCCGCCTCAACAACAGTACCAACAAGGCGGATTCTCTCAGCCTGCTCAGCCGCAATACCAGTCAACGCCCCACCAGAATCCATACGCTCAACCACAACCTCCTCTCCAGCAAACATCGCAGGGTCCGTTCAGGAATGACGAAGATTCCATCATGGAAGCTACAAAGCATGCCAAGTGGGCCATTTCTGCGATGAACTTCGAAGATGCAGATACTGCTGTGAAGGAGCTACGCACAGCGTTACGGGCTCTGGGTGCGTTATAGGAACGTGCTCATCCTTATGTAGCATGAAGAGGAGAGGAACATGGATCTACAATCTCCGTATCACTTGTTAGTTTGATGTATACCCCTGTGTTATAGATAGATGCACCGTTTTCAAGAGGTGAGCCGAGGTAGCTACAATGATACACAAGCTTTAATCATGCACGATCAGAGTTACGAACGCAAGTGCTATCTCTAGTACCTAGACGTAGTCAATCTTGATATAACAGTATCCAAGTGAAGATCGTCAAGCGCATCTGTTGGCCGTATATCCACAATTCTGCCAAGACTCTGTCGTGCACGTGCCTTTGGTCCAAAGCTTAAGAGCCGAAAATCCAACCACCTCGTTCTCACCCTCTATCGACCTTCACATCACAAGGGCGACTGCATGTAGTCATGCATCTGAGGCTCATTCGTAAAAGCTGTATTTCATGATACAGTGGCGAAGATGGCGCCCATCACACCTCTCAATGCGGCGGATATAACTGAAAAAGCGCGCCGGGAGCTGCTGCTCCTGCTCGAGGGTGTAAGGTAATATCAACGTCGCAGGTCGCTGCACCATCTAACGCGTGCGGACAGATCAGAGGAAAGAAGAACCTCGTGCTAGAGAAAGCTCTCGCAGGCCCGCTGAACTTGCTCGTCAAGTTTTCTACACTCCAGGAATATGGCGTCGACAAGCCCTTCTTCCTTGAGAACGACAATGTCGACTCTTCTCAGCGCAACATCGTCTTCCTCGTTAGGGGCGAAAAAGCGAAGACTGTGATGGCTATTGCTGGTAAGTGAAGCTCATTCGGCTTCCTTTCCTCCATCTGCCTCACGGCATCTGGAGCTTTGGGTCAAAAAGTAGGCTAGACAGACAGTACCCACTCTGCCTAGCCAGTCTTGATCCCTAGATTGAACACAGCACTTTTTTTGGATTGCCCTTCATCTCCATGTAGGAGCAGTCTATTGTACGGTGCTAACATACTAGATAGATCAAATCAAACGTATTCGGCGAGACAGCCAGATTGAACATGAATTCTCCATCTTTTGGGTGCCGCGCCGTACTATGACCTCGGACCAATTACTTGAAGAGGCCGGTGTCTTGGGTGAAGCGAGCGTGAGCGAATGGCCGCTGTTCTTCGTGCCGCTTGCAGATGATGTGCTATCGCTTGAACTTGAAGATGCTGTGTCAGATCTTTATCTCGTATGTGCGTCCTGGATCTGGTGCGGATTTGATACTAACCTTGCGTAGAAGAAAGATCCTACCGCGATCTACTTGTCGGCCAAAGCACTCATGCTTCAGCAACAGAAGTATGGTCTCTTCCCGCGCATCATCGGAAAAGGTGATAATGGCAAGCGACTCGCCGACCTACTCATCCGCATGCGTACCGAAGTAACGGCCGGTGAGACCTCTGCCGGCGGCGGACCATCATTCCTGGGCTTAGCACCTAGTTCCAACATCGACAGCCTCATTATCGTTGATCGGGAAGTCGACTTTCCCACAGCGCTACTGACTCAGTTGACATATGAGGGACTCATCGACGAAGTCTTCAACATCACCGCTAACCAGACCGAAGTCGACTCTTCCATAGCTGGTGGCGCACAGCCGCAGCAAGGTCAGACTGGATCAGCATCGACGAGCATGAAGCGCAAGATTATGATAGATTCGAAAGACGCTCTGTATGCTGATCTGGGTGATGCGAACTTTGCTATCGTCGGTAACTTGCTCAACCAAGCAGCTCGTCGTCTGCAGAGCAGCACAGGACGCGACCAGCTTGCCACAAAGACGACTACAGAGCTTCGTGACTTTGTCGCCAAGTTGCCCGGTTACCAGGCAGAGCAAGCAAGCTTGAAGCTACATACCAGTCTGGCTGAGGAGATTATCAAGTTCACACGCACCGACATCTTCACACGAAGTCTCGAAGTACAGCAGAACATCATGTCCGGCGCCGACCCAACAACACAGCACGATCTCATAAACGAGCTAATCAATCGCGATGTACCTCTCCCCGCTATTCTCCGCTTGCTCTGCCTAGAGTCCACCACCAACGCCGGCATCCGCCCGAAAGATCTCGAGGCCTTCAAGCGCGCCATCATCCAAGCATATGGCCCGCAACACATCCTGACCCTCGCCTCCCTCGAGAAAATGGGTCTACTAGGCCCACGAGGCGGCGTAAGCCTCGGTGGCGTAGGCGCGCCCGCCAAACCCGGCAGCGTAACAAACTACACGCCCCTGCGCAAGAGTCTCAAGCTCTGGGATGACGACGTGAACGAAGCAAGCCCCAACGACATCAGCTACACCTTCTCCGGCTACGCACCCCTCAGCGTCCGCATCATCCAATCCATCATCCAAAAACACACGCTCGCCAACGCCATCAAACCCCCCTCCGACCCCCGCGCAAGCGCCCAAGCCAACCCCCTCGCCCAGGGCCTCCGCATCTTCGATGACGCTAGCAAATATATTCGCGGCGCGACCTTCGATGAGACGCAGAAGGGTGAGGAGAAGGCCGTCAAGGCGCGGCAGCTGTTGAATGGAAGTGCAGGTGAGAAGAACAAAACTATTGTTGTGTTCTTCCTTGGTGGTGTGACTAGAGCTGAGATTGCGGCGCTGAGGTTCGTAGGCGAGAAGTTGAAGGAGAGTGGTGGGGAGGGCAGAGGATCGAGGATTGTCGTTTGTGCAACGAATGTGGTCAAGGGGGAGGGATTGGTGGGGAGTGCGATTGAGAAGCAGAGGTTTAAGGCTTGAGATGGTGATGGTGGTGGTGGTAGCCGTGATAGCGCACATATGTCGAAGTAGACTCTCCTAATGAACACTTTTCTTTGAGAATAGTGTCTCCTCCTTTCTATGGCTGGCCGACATCGAAGAAGGGAAGAAGAAGTCATGCTGTGGAGAATGCGCCTTCCTCCCGGAAGAAGCCACCATGTGTTTAGGTGTGCCATTGTGCATTGCTTGAGCAGAAGCATCGGCACATGCGACATCGCAGACGGAACAGTAGAAGGTCTTCTCCTCAATCGCCTTGACTTGTTTGGCTCGTGTCTGAGGATACTGTTGTGCGTTGCGGGCCTTTTGACTGGCCTTCCACCCTTCTGTAGGGCTCGCTCTCTTCTCTCGACCGTATGAAGATGCGTAAGCCTTGTCCTTCGCCCTTGTCGCAGCCTCAAGCTCCTCAAGCTCTTCCTTAGTAAGGGCGAGGTCACCCTCAACAGGGTCGAGGAGAGGGTTGTGGGAACAGCAGCTTTCTATGGCTGGCCGACATCGAGGAAAGGAGGAAGAAGAAGTCATGCTGTGGAGAATGCGCTTTCCTTCAGAAGCCACCATGTATATGCTTCGATTTACGAACTACAGTCAAGGGCGCTACCAAAGTTGCCGAATACATGGGCCCATCATCTTGTCGAGATGCTGATCATGATGTAGCCTGGAGGTAGTCGGTGGGAGCGATAGCCACATAGGAACTAAACATGATAGAGTCTGTTGTGATCCGAGGTGTGTTGGAAGAGTATCACAGTACAGGATCATGATAGAGCCAGGAGGTATTCGCTGCTCATCGCAAAGACCACCGGTGGAAAATACGGCAATGTAGTCGTCACAGCAACATTCATAACGATGGTGTATTCAGTGAAGTCATTTCAATTTCCTTTCCACTCTCTTCATGTAGCTACCTCGTGAGTTACATAAGAGACATTGACCGCTGGCATACTTTTGCAGAACATCCATTACGATCGTTTCGTCAGGCATCGTCGTGAAAGTACAAAGAAGACTTTTCCGCGTTCCTGAATACCGGGAACCCATGAAAGATAAGGAACCAAACACACCAAGTCTATCGTTAAATGCCGCAATAGATGAAACTCCGTTCGCAGCTCGCAGTCTGGGTATCCTGCACGTGCGCCCTTCCTTCCTTCCTGCACGCCCTTGTGGCGCTGCTGTCATGTGATGCGCTTATCGGGTGGAGAAGGCCTTGGTGACAGTGCGCTTGAGCGCAAGCTCCTTCTTCTTCAGGTCATCAGCGGGGGCGTCCTCAACCTCGAGCTGAGCCATGGCGTCAGAGAGAGCAGACTCGATCTTCTCCTTCTGGCCACGCTTGAGGCGGATGGATGTGGTGGGGTCGGAGATCATCTCCTCAACGCGGGAGATGTAGGACTCAAGCTGTTGCCTTGACTCGAACTTCTTGCTGAAGGCCTCGTCGGAGGACTTGAACTTCTGGGCGTCGTTGATCATGTTCTCGATGTCGGCAGATGAGAGCTTTCCGACAGCGTTGGAGATGGTGATGTTGGCGCTGCGGCCGGAGGTCTTCTCGGTGGCGGTGACCTTCAGGATACCGTTGACGTCGACCTCGAAGACGACCTCAAGGACGGCCTCACCAGCGCGCTGGGAAGAAGTCAGTAACAGTGCGTAAAATTGGGTGCAAAAGTCTGCTCACCATGGGCGGGATCGGGGCCAAAGTGAACTCTCCGAGAGAGGTGTTGTCCTCGCAGTTGACACGCTCACCCTGGAAGACAGGGAACTGAACCGTTTGTTGATTATCAAGGGGGGTATTAGCATGGTCTTATCAAAAGGGTATCTTGGGTGTGCATACCGGCAACGGTGGTGAAGGTCCTCTTCTTGATGGTCTGAATGCAGAGTTAGCGAATGCAAAGTCATATGGCCATCGCAATACATACAGGGACGGTCTGACCGCGGGGAACGACGGGGGCGAAGATGTTACCCTCCATGGCTACACCAAGGGAGAGGGGAACGACATCGAGAAGGAGGAGGTCGGCAGTCTCGGCGGAGGTGGCCTTTCCGGAGAGGATACCAGCCTGGACGGCGGCACCGTAGGCAACGGCCTCATCGGGGTTGATGCTCTTCTCAAGCTTCTTTCCGTTGAAGTAGTCGCTGAGGAGCTTCTGGATCTTGGGAATACGGGTGGAACCACCAACAAGGACGATCTCGTCAACCTTGTCCTTGGCGATGGCGGCGTCCTTGAGAACCTGGGCAACGGGGTCCAGAGTGCCAGCGAAGGCCTTCTGGTTCAAGTCCTCGAAACGAGCACGGGTGATGTTGGCGTTGAAGTCCTCACCGTCGAACAGCGAGTCGATCTCAACAGTGGTCTGGGTGGCGTTGGAGAGGGTACGCTTGGCACGCTCGCAAGCAGTCCGGAGACGACGGAGGGCACGGGCGTCACCGCTGATGTCCTTCTTAGTCTTCTTTGTGAACTCCTTCTTGAAGTGGTCAAGGAGGTTGGTGTCGAAGTCCTGTCCACCTGCAACGAAGTCAGTACATGTCTCAAATGCACTTTGTGCAGCCACCTTATACAAGGGAAAAACTGAACAGGTCTGCAGACTACATTGACCCAAAACCTTGCAAAAGAGGTGACCTAAAGTCAACGTAGGCTCCAGGCTGTTCAGTTTCTCCTTAGGTTAGCGTGCAGCCAGAACTTACCCAAATGTGTGTCACCAGCGGTAGCCTTGACGGTGAAGACACCACCCTGGATGTGGAGAAGAGACACATCGAAAGTACCACCACCGAGATCGTAGATGAGGACGTTCCTCTCCTTGTCAGACTTTCCGGAACCGAGACCGTAAGCGATAGCGGCGGCGGTAGGCTCGTTGATGATGCGGAGAACGTTGAGGCCAGCAATGGCACCGGCGTCCTTGGTGGCTTGACGCTGGTTGTCGTTGAAGTAGGCGGGAACGGTGATGACGGCCTTCTCGACCTTCTTTCCGAGCTTAGTCTCAGCGACCTCCTTCATCTGTTGATTTTGTTAGCCGTTGCCCCGCCATGCTGGTGTGTGCGCAGATCTTACCTTGACGAGAACCATGGCAGAGATCTCCTGGGGAGAGAACTGCTTGGTCTCGCCGAGGTACTCAACCTCGACGAGAGGGCTGCCGCCCTGGTCAACGACCTTGAATGGCCATGACTTAATGTCCTTTGTGACGGTCTCGTCCTCGAATCGGCGACCAATGAGACGCCTGCGAAAGTCAGTCGGCTGATCGTGCGCGTGCGACGATGGAACGGCAAACTCACTTGACATCGAAGACGGTGTTCTCCGGGTTCATAGCAGCCTGGTTCTTGGCTGCCTCACCGATGAGACGCTCCTCGCTGGTGAAGGACACGAACGAGGGGGTGGTGAAGCTACCCTGCTCGTTGGCGACTGTGGGCAAACATTGTTAGACAATGGTCTCTGAGTGCAGGAGTGGCGGGCGCATACTGATCTCGACATTGGTGCCCTCGTAGTTGGCAACGCAAGAGTAGGTGGTGCCTGCGATATTGTTAGCACACACGCATCCCACTGTGGGGTAATTCGCGAAATTCACGCACCAAGATCGATGCCGATGGCACCCTCGTAGACTTCGTCGCTCATGATTGCGGTATGTGTATAAGGAACAACCTGAAAAATTGAAGAGCAGGAAGGTGTTGGAGAGAAGGTGGAAAAGAGGGTTGGGAATCTTTTTCGCGCTTGCTTAAAGGCGAGCGATCAGAGAAAAATTGGCCTGGCAGGGATCTCTCGTAGTGTCGGCGAATGACGCTAGGCAGACTCGGTTAACCTGGCGCGGCGCTTATCGATACTCAATGAAAAACCACCCATCCAACATCGATATACCTTCAAGCCTCGGCCCGCTGAGAAAGAAAAGAGTCCGGACCGTGACATTGAGAGGGTGCCCCGCAGCCAAGCTTTCACATCTTCTAGGAGAGTTTTGAAACAAGACCTGCCTATATTGACCTCTGTCTTGCCAATCCACGCCGGTGCACGCCCGGCGCTACCTAGGTATCATTTGAAAATACTTTGGAACATTGAGTAGTACGTAGTTCTCCAGCGTAGTGGACCAGATGCTCACTCGAGACGCCGTCTTCATGAATGGACCAATTTATTGCTCTTCTTTTCCTGTCCATGCCCAGGTGGGTTCCGGAACAAAGACCACGACAAACATCGCGATAGATTATGTCCATGGCCAGCTTCACACTTCTACCTATGGATCCTCCTGGAGCCGTCATACTGACGTTTGCAACTCCCAGTTTGATACTTTCTGATCTCTTCCTTCCAATGTCTTTCCAACCCCTTTTCGTATATCTACTTCTCCATTCTCAGAGATCACATGCAACCGTCTCACCAACTACCACAAACCTCAATGTCTAGCACCCAACCCTACTACATTGTCAGCAGCGCAGCCAAACCCTCCGCCGCTTTCAATCCCCGTGTCCTCGGCGTCTTCTCCACTAGAGCTCTAGCCGTCGCCGCTGTCGAAAGAATTACACCACATAACCCGCAAATACCTGATAACGTTCAGCTTTGGATTATATGGTACATTGGCATCGATAACGCCATCAAAATCGTTCCCCAGCACAGCGACATGGTTGGCGCGTTTGCAAACCCTGCTAACACTGTCTTTCTGGCCATCGACGAATGTGACAACAATATCGTCGACACAAGAATATTGGGCACGGCGCATGACGCGTGGACAGCATGCAAAGCTATGAAGCTTAAGTGCGGTGACTACTGGAAGGATGAGAAAGAATGGACTGACAACAACGGATGTAAACACGGCGAGGCGGAGTTCAACATAACGACCTCTAGCACCCCGAGGCAAGTTGGAGACCACGTGTCACAGCAGTTGGCTGGCTTAAGAACAACGGGCATGTTGAAACATCACTGGTATGTCAAGGAGTTTGTCGTTGTAGAACCGCGCTATTTGGTACAAGTCTGAGAGCCTGCAGTCAGGGAGCTGAGTTCACCGACGTTACGACTTAGCACCAGTGCGTAAAACGGTTGTAGATGGAAAACCTGTGGTAACTCATTCAACAAACTGGAAAATACTAACAGATAATACTATATGCAAATGTCAATCACGTAACATACCACAACGCTACATCCATGTTCCTACCACCCCCTTCCCAAAACTCTTCCCTGACTATCATTCGCTTGCTTTATTAAATCCGCTGGTGCAGGACTGTGAGAACAACGCGGTTGGGTAACACGGTATGTAGTCGCAATGCAGGTGTGATTCTGGTATGCAGCCGTAGATATTTTCTTTGAGTCGCTTTCATCGGATGAAACTGTTCATCACTCTCCGTATTCCAGGTCTATCAACCACGTTCTTATGGCACTATCTTCCTTGCTACGTATTTGGGTCATGAGCACACCCGGAATTCTTGTGGCACAGTGTACAGCACTTCTTGTGCCTCGTCGTAGTATTGTTGACATCGAACTCGGCCTGATCACCACAAGAGACATTGCATATCGCGCAATGAAAGATCTTGTCTACAATAGCCTTTTGTCAGCTGACGTGGGTCTTGGGATAGTGCTTTGCGTTCTCGGTCTTCTGAGATGCCTTGAGAACTGGGGTGGCGTTTTCTCCCTGTTGTCTAGAGTACTTGTTCTGATACCTGAGGTTCTTCTCGCGAATTAGAGTCACTATCTCCTCCAGTTTCTCGGCTGATATATTGTGGTTCCATTCGATAGGGTCAAGTAGGTATGTAAGGTTCTTCTCCTCGGAAATGGCGCTTAGGGTTGAACTAAGAGTGAGCGGATCAACAATTCTACGTCGGAAAAAAGTGTAGTGAAGACTACATGATCTGAGAATAGTGCGTAGGCCGGTTCGAGGACATCATGTAGGCGGCAAGCTGGACAAAGTTATAGATTTCACAATACCACCGAGAAGCTGTATTCGTAGAAGCTCAAGGTAGAAGACGGCCGCATTCCTTGTTGAGAACTTTTGACAATGATACACAGTGCTGATTGATAGGAGTAGCATCAAAGGCGACAGTATGTCTCTCAATAGCGAGCTAGTTCCACAAGTTCAAGGGAAAAAGTCAAGGCTGCACACAGAGTATCGCTTTCCATATTCGATAGTCATGAGACCTGCCGTAACGTCATATCCAATCCCATATCCTCTCCCTTTAGCCATACCAATGAACGCCCTAAACACCAATTCCATGCTTTAGTCCATCTAATCGCTCTTTCCCAGATGCCCACCCCATTTCCTCCATACCCCTCAGACCGTCTCATCATGAAAGACAAAATTAATATCTCTCGGCCGCTGAGTGTTGTACCTCACAAAGTTATCATCTCCCTGCGGCCGCTCCTTCTTCGTGTTGCTCGTAAGCATACTCTGAAGACTGACACACACGCTTTCGACGTTGTGGACGGGAGACCAGCCGGAGCGGTCGAGCAGGTCGAGGCAGATGATACCGTTGGAGTAGATGTGTGGGTGCCAGGGTATGGGATGGGTTTCGTCGCGGAGGAAGATTACTTCGGGCGCCTGTGGGGAGGAGGATTAGCGAGGTCTGGTTTGGGGGAGGGTGCGGATATCGGGTGGGTGCAAGAATGGGAGATGGGAGGGTAGGATGCTGGGTAGTAAGCAGTTAGTATAGAAAGAGAACACGTACCTCAATAGGATACTGCGGTGTAAAGCTAAACTTCAACCGATATGTTTCGCCCTGGTACAACGGATTCGGGTCCATAACTTGAATGTCCATGAGCCAGGTTTGGAAGTCGTCAGCCTTAATGAGAGTTATGCCTGGCGGGAGTTTTTCGTGCATCTATACGCCGTTGTGTTAGCGAATCTGTTCCTCCGTATGTGAATTTCCATATCCGTTGCCTTCACATCGTGGCCATATTGTGTGTGTATGGGCTTCCGCGCGTCGATACGTGGAGTTTATAGGCGTCTGACAGGTGACAATGTGCTTCGACGAGCAACCAACGATAAACGAAAGGATTACGGTACCTTTGCGAGCTCCTATCACACACGTTAGCTTCTGTGTCCTTACATATCGCATTGCACTCAAGCTCCATCTCAGAGCTCAAGACCAAGAAGACATACCTTGCCTAACCGTTTCGACGCGAACATCTCGAGATGTGCAGCAGCAGCGCGCCTGTCAAACTGGGGTGTACGCGTAGGTATATGTAGCTAACAATGTATCCTGGGCGGCTCGGAGTGAATGACGTGTATCGTAGCTTCGTTCCGAGGTAGCTGAACAGCTCACAAGCTTATGGACAAGCTGCGACCCTGCAGGTGGAATGGACAATGTGTGGGGGAGGGGCAACCGCGCGCGTATCAGGTGGCAGCCTAGGATTGAGAAGCGGCCGGAAAGTTCGATCGTAGAATTGGAGTGAGCGACAGGGAAGAGGCTGGAAGGCACGTGGTAGTGGTGATAGGACGTGTGAATTGTTTGCGCCGTCGCTGCCTGATGTCTCGGTGCTCGGCTTTGTTGCGAAGGTTGGTTCACGCGGCGCGCCAGGGCGGAACGCGGCTATCCAGGTACATTTTGCTGTGAACCATCTGGGCATCCTCATAGTTCACCAACCAGGCTCTTCAATACTAGATGGCACCAGAGATATCTGTAATGTATACCGCATTCCTCAAATTTGTTATTGACGTAGGAGTATATATTGCATGAGGGAGTATCTATAAATCAACATTAAACACTGTGCATGTAGCAACACGAATCTGAGCCACCGATGGCAATAGATGATTTGTTGAATATTCATAATAGTATTTGATTGACCCATGATATCTCTCGCGCCATACGCCCACCATACCGTAGCTTTTCCTAGCCAAGTTATACACACCTGCAGACGACACTGCAACGCAAATCATTACTAGAAACGCGATGTAGAACCAAGAAGAATACGCTCAAGAACGACACTCGAAGCCTACGAGTAAAAGGCGCCCTTCTGGAAACTCTCAACACCCATATCGCCCGCCTTGCTGTCCACCTTCGGGCCAACCTTCTCTGGTGCCGATACTGGAGCTCCGGTCATGGTGGCAGTCCGGCTCGCGGCGCTGCTGTTCGTCATTGTTTGTGTTCTGCTACCAGCTGGGCTTCCGCTCTGGCTTCCACTCGTAATCTGTGCGGGTGTCTTGCGTTGAATAGGCTCGAGGTAGATGCCTGGAAGGTAGCCCATGCGTCCGTCTCTTGATCTGCACCTCCACCATTCTGATGCGTTGCCCATGGGATCGCTCTTGCTGAGCACCGCGACCATGTCTCCCTTCTTAACTGACAAGTCCATTGCGTGCATGTTGGCATTGGGTGTGAAGTCGTAAAGCGCGCGGCAGAATTCGAGCTTGTTGGGGTCGAGGGGCTGTCCGGCCTGTGGGTTCTCGAGCATCTTCTGTTGCTCTTGGGCTTCTTGTGATCTCGCAAGCGCCTTGATGAGTTTGCCCATTAGGTAGGGGAGACCGAAAACGGCGAGCATGAAAACGATGAATGGCTTCTTGGAAGGCTTTGCGGGAGCTGGCGAGCCGTCAGGCATACGTCCGTTGAAGGCTGCGAAACTCGCGGGGGTGAGGGCGGTCGCATCTGCTGGTAGGGGTCGTCCAGTGAGCTTTGCGATTGCCGTCCGTATCCATCGCATTATTGTGTAGATGCCCAATACCGAGCCAAGCGTTTGTCGTAGGTTTCCGAACTGCTCTGCTACAGATACCATGGCTGAGGATGTTAGCATATCGCTGAAAGTTGGAAAGGGGCGGACGTACCGAAGAATGACGAATGTGTCGCCATATATGTGCTCTGAAGCATCTGGGCAAAGCCGCCAAATGCGCCGACAATGTTCTCAATCAACTGAAATGTCGCTGCTGTGCTCTGGCTGAATGATTGTGTGAGGCTGCTGTTTGGATCGCCCTGCATGCCTCCCATACCGCCGTACATTCCGCCCATGCCCATGCCCATACCTCCCATGCCGCCGTACATGCCACCCATACCGCCCATTCCACCGTACATGGAGCCGTAGCCACCCCCCATGCTGGAGTAGGGCGAGCTGTAGCTGCTCATTCCTCCATATCCGCTGCTGTAGGGGGAGCCGTATCGGTTGTTCATGCTCGAGTAGTTGGACGCGTTGCGGTTCGCGACGGTGCTGAGTGAGTCTGGGACGGATGGTAGCGGAGGCGCACTCGAGGATGTGGCTGTTGAGGTGGGTGCTGTGCTGCTATTCGATCCAGTGAGGCCTGTGTTGATGTTAGTCGCGGTGTCCCTGACGTATCGGATGGCTGGCGGACTCACCAACCGAGGCACTCGTCGCGCCGTTGCTCGTCTCCCAGGGCTTTGGCGGCGATGGCGCAGACATGTTTCCGTGTGTGCCTCCTCCGCGCTATGTGCGCAGTACAGAAAGTGACTTTGCAGAGACGATGGCGGATGTCGTCAGCAAACGTCGAGAGGCTGGCAATTCGCGGCGATCGGGGCAGCGAGTTTTTGCGGGGAAACTGCGCCGGCCGAGACTGGCAATCGCTCAAGGGGCGGATCCGCGTCGACAGTGGCTGCACGTGAGCAGTAAGTTGGGCAATATATTAGATGCGAAGACGCGACGTTGGGTCTAGACGGTAATGGAGGCGATGAGTAGATGCGCAGTGTCGTCGGCCGGGATGCGGCTGGTCGTCGTTCACGGACGCTGAGTCGCGAACAGACCTCGGTTTCTCGTGCCCGCTTGGGCAGGCCTATCCGTCAGCTTGCCACCACTGCAACCACCGGCCCACTCCGCTGCATCGCCCGTGTCCGTCTTCAGATGATTATCGCATTGCTTATGAGCCTGCCTCGGTCGCACGTCTCACGTGTCGGGACTTCACAAATGATTTCCTTGTGCAATTCAAGAGCACTTCGGTTGTACTGCTAGGTGTATGGTTGCATGTAAGATGTCTTCACACGAATATCTCAATCCTCAAGGCCTGAAAACCATCCACCTCAGTCCCCAATAGCATACAGAGAATGCACCCAGCTATCCGGATCGTATGCCACCAACTTCTGAATCGCATCATTTGACATGCTCTCGGAAAAGTCAAAGTCGTCGTCCAGCACCAATGCCGTAATGTGCGGATAATGCCAAACAACCGCAAACTTCATCTTCTTCCCTACGGGTCTGCTGAAGTAATTGGAGTCACCACCCTCCAGATTGCCCTGCCGATGTATAGTCGACTTTGCGCGTTCGGCGCCTTTGCTGAGAAGCTCGAAGGCGTCGAACTCGCCACAGCCGGTTGACCAGCATGAGCAGGGAATGTTGTTGCGGTCGTTGCCGTACTGGAGGATGCGAGGTATGGCTGCATTGAGGAACCAGTAGGCCGGGGCGTCAGAGAGGAGGCCTTGATCTGTGCCTACATTATCGTAGTGGTCCATTTGGAATTCGATGAAGAAGGCTTTTGAGGAGCCTGACCAGCCGTAGTGAGATGTCGCGTCTGGTCTCCAGTACGGGCAATCCGCGTCACACTCTTTATCGGAAAGGACCACGATCTCGTTCTCAGACGTCTTTAGCGTGCCTTCGAACGGCTGACTCTCAGCTGCTACTTTGTCACCCCGGGGAGTGACGTAGCTGAGCGAGTTTCCAAATGCACTGAACATGTCAGCTTCGAAACTTATGGAACGAGAAAACACTCACTAGTCAAAAGTACCAGACTTTTGGGGATCACCCAGGTTAGCCATGAAGCTGAGCCCGGTGGCTTGAGCCGGTGATGTAGACGTGTAGTATGCTATCCGCTTCCAATCTGAACCCTGCCTCTTCGAGATGGGCGATGGCGAGGGCGAAGGGATGTCAAAAGGTTGTCCATCTGGACGCTGTGATACTGGCAATGGGTCTTGTGGAGGTGACGGTGAGGGCGAAGGGATGTCAAAAGGCTGTCCGTCCG